CGGGTTGATGGATGGGGAATTTAATTCTCCACCGAACAGCATTAGTTTCATTCCTCAATGTTAATTAGGAGGGGAGAGACGATTTTTTAATTAGCGGGCGAATTAATGGGGAAGCGCTCTGCGCCGAGAAACCATTGAGTTTTTCATAGCGCCGTGAATTTCGTCGCAGTTTTTATGTTTTTATTACAGAGATTAAGGAATGAAACGGGGGTTGAAAGATGGGAAATTTAATTCTGCATCGAACAGCATTGGTTTCATTCCTTAATGTTAATTAGGAGCAGAGATACGATTTTTTAATTAGCGGGCGAGTTGTCGGGAGTCACTGCGCCGAGAAACCATTGGGTTTTTCATAGCGCCGCGACTTTCGTCGCAGTTTTTATTTTTTTATTACAGAGATTAAGGAATGAAACGGGGGTTGAAGGATGGGGAATTTAATTCTCCATCGAACAGCATTGGTTTCATTCCTTATTGTTAATTAGGAGGGGAGAGACGATTTTTTAATTAGCGGGCGAATTATTGGGGAGTCACTCTGCGCCGAGAAAATATTGGGTTTATTATAGCGCCGTGACTTTCATCGCAATATTAATTTTTTTATTGCAGAGATTAAGGGATGAAACGGGGGTTGATGGATGGCGAATTTAATTCTCCATTGAACAGTCTTTGTTTCATCCCTTAATATTAATTAGTCGGCGAATAAATCAACTGAAAAACATAAAGTAAACATTGAGTACAAGGAGGACAAAAGTTGCCCTCCGAAGCTGTCCCTGTCACAGCGGGACTGCTACTGCCGAGTTACTCACGTACCCGACTCACATTTACCGACAATTCGACCGAGACGCCGCCTTTCCCGTGGGGTACCAACTAACATTTTTGGAGTCAGTCAAACCCCCCGATCCGGGCCTCTACTCAGGTCTATCCTCTTTGCCTTTATTGGTGAGAATCGCATTTGCACCTCAATCAGCTGTGTGAAGTTGGCACCCGACTTTCACGAATTGTAACAAAAATTTGGAATCTGATAGATTTTGACCTACACGTGATTGTAGTTCAATTATTTTTGTTTGTAGTTGAAAAATAAGGGTCCAATCCATTTTTGAAAGACAGGAACTATTTTATAGTTACAGCTTCAATGACATTGGGGATTCTTATTTGCGATCGTTTGTAGTTGATTGTAGTATTTGAATATTACCATTTCAAGTAAAACCAAGCACGGAATTCATTTTACGAAATAGTATCGAGTAATCAGTTTGCACCAAGGACATAACAAAATAAGATAGTTGGAAGAATTCGTTTGTAGTTGTTTGTAGTGGCGAAGAAAATGGAAAAAGCGAATAAATGAAACAGGGCTAAATATCGAATGGATTAGTTGAGAACACTGGGAAAAGCTAATGTCATCGTAGGACGAAAAAAACAGTCATTTAGTGAAAAAATGAAATGCTCAATGTCATTCATTTATAGTTTTTTGTAGTATCACAAGAATTCACAAAAAAAAATATCTTATTCATTTTTAAAAGACAATTAGGAACTATTTTGCAGTTACAGGTTGAATAACATTGGATTCTTATCTGCAATCGTTTGTAGTTGATGGTGGTGAACAAAATTATGATGAAAAAAGAAAATTCTTATCGACAATCGTTCATAGTTGTTTGTAGTTTTGATATTTCTTCGATGGCAATTCAAAAAAGCGTCTAATTCATTTGTGAATGACAGTTAGGATCTATTTTATAGTTGCAGCTCAAGTGACATGGGATTCTCATCTGCAATCGTTTGTAGTTGATTGTAGTTTTGAAAATTTTTCATTCCGAATTCAAATAAGCGTTCAGTCAATTTTTGGAGCACAACTAATAGGTGGTTAATAGCCACAGCCAAGGTGATATCGGATTCCTGTCGACAATTGTTTGTAGTTGTTTGTAGTATACGCAGATTCTCAGTCCAAAAAAAAGATTGATTCTTTACTATTATTATTTTTATTCTGCTTTAAGGATACATAGCCCCATAGCAGGGGAAAAAAATATACATAAATGTTTAAGGCTGTTTTAAATGGTGGATAATTTGACAAACGAGTATAGTAATTTCGGAGCTGCATACATAGTTTAGAGAAGAAATTAAATACATATAAACATCGGTCGAGGTGAGGAAACAGAATGCATTTAAATGCAAAAGCTGATATTAGATCTACTAGAGCGCAGAGATACATTTTTGAGATCTATAGATCGTCTGACGTTTATATAGTTTCGGAAAAATACACAGATGTTTTTATTATCTAGAAAATTACCGAGAAATAGGATGGAGCTTAACGGACGATTCATGAAATGTGGGCATTTTTTGAACAATGATTCTCGTAGTTTCTGTGTTGTAGGGCAGTTAAGACAGAAGTGTTCAATGGTATCGTTTTCAGAAAGGTCACAATAAGTACAAATCTTACAAGGGTTGAAAGTAACTCTGGCTTTTTGTGTATAAAAATTACAATTGTAATTATTAGCTAGACGTGGTTGGGCTAGGATACATTTTGTATGGATTGTATGATTTTCAAGCAGGTAGGTAGCATTCCAGGTCAAGGAGTTGGATGAAAAGGGGGGAATAAGCTTCTAGGAAGTGGAGGAGGCCCATCTAGACAAATCTTCATTTTTGAGCAATGTTTCATAGGTATTAAAGATTTCTACGGTTTTCGACTCAAATTCTAATATGCTAGGACTTTCCCAAAGATCCACCTGGTTAGTCAGCATAAGTAACTCCTTAATCTGGGAGGCCCAGTTAAGGGAAACATCGCAGAAAGGACCTTTGCTCAGAGCCATCAGTCTCTCGATACAGAGTTTGGGAAGCGAGGGTTTTTCAAGTTTGAAGATTTTCAAAAACCAGTCCCAGGACAGTTTCATGACTTGGAATTTTACCTCAGGGATATTGGTTTCAAGTCTGAGAGCCCATCCTGGAGTACAGCTCGGAAGTTTTAATACTTTCTTAAAGAAATATAATTGAGCTTTCTCAAGTTCTTCACTATGTAAAAGGCCCCAGGAGGGGACAGCATAAAGGAGAATTGAGGAAACCAATGCATTGGAGAGAGTAGCAAAAGTACTCCAGGAGTTGACCCCCAGACCTGAAAGACCTTGTAGAGTAGCGCCAGTCGCCATTTTAGCTTTCGCGATAGAATGACGAGCGGCCAAATTTCCAAGGACGTTCCTCGATAGTGGAACGTCCAAATAAACATACAATTTAATAAACACACAAGATTTAATAAACATACATATAAACATACGATTGTCAATTGTCAAACGGTTGGCGGTGTACCTCATATGCTTTCCATCAGATTTGGCAGATTTTGCGAATTCTCTGATTTTCTTGGCAATCAGACTTTCGTAGGTTGCCAAGTTTTTTTCCAAGAAAATTTTGCTGAAGAGAGGGCTGGTGGCAAGTTCTCTTTTACCTGTTAAAATTCTGTTCCTAGCGTCAATTGAATTTAGTTGGACCACAACAAGATTTTGAAGTCTGTCTGTCACTATCTTTTGCAATCATCTTTCCGTCACCCTTAAATCGAAATTTCGAGCAAGGAGAGTCTTCCTTCGAACCGCAATAGAATGTCGCGTAAAATCGTGTATTTTCTGCATCGGAAATGTACAGACGATAATATAAAGCTTTCAAACTGCATGATGCGAATCGACGAATTTGTGGTTTTATGTAATTGAAAATAAAATCATCAACCCAGCCCCTCGCCAATTTTCTTAACACGGGAATACCCTTCAATCGGATCTAGGGGTTTCAAAGTTTAGAGGTGTTTAGGGGACGTGTGATGACACCCCTAGAAATAGTCATTTTGATGACGCCATTCACTTGAATAGATTTTCTAACAGAAATATCTGTCAATCGTATCTAGGGGTTTGAAAGTTTAGGGGTGTTTAGGGAACGTGTGATGATACCCCTAGAAATGGTTATTCTTATGACGCCATTTATTTGAATAATTTTCTTAACACGACCAGAGCTAGCTTTTTCTAAAAAATTCGTTCGTGAAACATTGTTTCACAGACAGAATAGCAAAAAAATGTACAATTTTCATAACAGAATTTACAAGTTTAACCGACACTGTCATTCAATTAATATTCTTGTATTTATCGATAAGGCTGCCGCATATACAGCAGAATTAATAGCCAAAATCAAGGAAAAAGGCCAGGAAGTTTCACGAAATATCTTTCATATGGAGCAGTCTGTATCCAATGCCTGTGGAACTGTTGCCCTAGTGCACGCAATTGCTAATAACCAAGATCAGTGAGTATACACGTTAGATCAAGGAATTACATAATAATAATCCGATAAAATTTTTCCTCTCCGATTTTTATTGTTTGGTATTTTTTTGATGTATTCTATCAAAATGTGAGGATAGAAACTGGATTCATGAATATTCTTCCATTATTTAAAAAAATATATGAATTTAAAAATTTTCCGGAGGCATCGAAAAATTGAAAATTTTGTTCTCTTGTAGATCACGTTTCTTTGCTTTTTTTTCACTTCCTCCCATTGGAATGAGGTCATAGAAAGTGAAAATGCTGATACTTTTTCGCTATTGAAAAAAAAATAGTTTTTGAAATTTTTTAGAAATCGAAAAAAAAATTTCTTTTTAATGATTTCTCCTTGCATTTTTTTTATTTTCTTTTTATGAGTTCATATACAAATAGAAAATCATAAAAAATTAATCTCGATTTATTATTGAAGAAAAAAATGAATTTTATCCATTTTTGGAGGAAAATGAAAAAAAATGTTTTTTTTTCGATTAACAGAAAAAAATGGAGGAAAAAAATAATTCAAATAAAATGATGTAAAATGATATAATCTAGCGACAGGCGCGAAACGCCCGTTCGCTAGTAGAGAGATTAAACAAACAAGCAGAAATGGCTACGGAAAAAGTCTGAAGAAAATTTAGCAATTTAAAAATGAACCAACTTATTATTATTAGGGGAGAGTGGGGCAAAATGAAACAGTCGAAAAACGACTCTGACGCAATTCAAGCAAATTTTGTTAGAAATTTTTTTATCAACTTTTGCTTAACTTTTTTTGTTATTGGGAGTACTGATGAGAAAATTAATTTTCTATTCGGTAGAAAAAAACATGCCACTTTTCTGTTAGATCTTGATCTCAACGTCTACTAGTCAGCTTGTCCACTGACTCTCCAGCAGCCAAACTAAGAGCTCGTCATCGCTGAGTCTGTGTTCTCTCTTCATTCGGTACCTCCGAAGATTTGTCATCTATTTCTTATATCGAGACGATAATATTAATAATTTTCATTAATTTTATCCATTCTCTTTTCAAGTAATATGAAATCTTTCATCTATAGTTCAATTGATTAGATTAGGGCGATTACACTTTTCTTTTTTCATACGATCACGAAAAAAAATATTCCATCCGGCTTCCGGATGGATGCCGCGTTTGGTTTCAGCATTGCGCCAACGTTTCGCAAACATTGCAGTCTGCATCTTCAGGGTTATGAGCTCCGATTCTGAGCTCCGATGTCTGGGGGTTGTCCTTATATGTCTTCTCCTGTGATGGTGGGGGAAGGGGAAGGGGGGCGATCAGCCAATCGTATGTTTTTATTGATCAGCTGGTCAATTAAAAAACATATGATTGGCTGACCAGCCGATTAATTAAAAACATACGATTGGCTAACAGCCCCCCTCCCCTTCACCCACTGTCACAGGGGATAATATATAAGGACAACTCCCAGACGTCGGAGCTCAGAATCGGAGCTCATAGCCCTGAAGATGCAGACTGCAATGTTTGCAAAACTTCGGCACAATGCTGAAACCAAACGCGGCATCTATTCGGAAGCCAATAATGTCATTAATAATGACCGCGAAAGCCTCAAAACCGAGTATATTATTCTTGATTCGAGTATAAAATATACTTGACTCTAGTATATTATTCTTGATTCCAGTATAGTTTTCGGTTACTCAATTTCAGATGTGAAGAAGGGGATTTTGCAAAGAGAGGGAGGGAAATTTGGTGAGTTTTTTTCTGAAAATTTAAAGCGGTAAGGGGGGGGGGCGTGTGCATTGGGAATTCACAACCAAAAATATTGAGTCGGTGAGTTTTTCAACGATATCTGCGAAGCTAAGGGAAAAATTGGAAAAACTTTTATTGAATTCTCGATGTACAACCCTCCTCCACTCCAAATTTTCAGTAAAAATACGATATTTCCTTCAGTTTCGAAGATATTTTAAAAAAATTCACCGGCTCAATTTTTTCGTTGTAAATTCTCAATTCACAACCCCCCCTTCCCCTCTTTGCAAAATCCCACCTTAAATGTTACAGAAATTTTCAGGGGGAAGATTGATTTCGCAAATCTTTTCCTACACTGCACAGAGATATTCATTACGGAAAAGGCTCTTTGAAATATTGTAATATTTTGGAAAATTTTTTAATCACACTTTTATCACATGAAAATGGCAGATGACTACATACCACTGTTTTGAAAATTGAGATATCTAGCTGTTACTTCCCATGAGGAATTATTGTTTTGTTATCCACCATGGAAAATGACAGCTAATAGATAATTTGCCACAGCGAATCAGATATTTGTAATTTCCACGTTTTTCAACTCATTCTAAATCTCAATTAAAAACGCTCTTTGAAAAAGTTCAGAATTCTTTCTACCTTTTTTTTATCATTCTATCACAATTTTTGGGAATTTCTACATGATGTACTACCCAATTGACAATTTTGCATTACGAAAGATAAAAAAAATCCAGATAACATTCGAAAAATAGTAAACCCGGGCCTCAAGAGGGCTTGCTATAAACCGGCCTGATACGAAACAATCATCTCCGAATTGAAATACTCATCCCCCAATTGAGTGTAAAATATACTGGAATCAAGAATAATATACTTAAATCAAGTATATTTTATACTCCAATAAAGTATATTATATACATGATATATATATCAAGTATATTATATACGTGAGTGTATTTTTTTTCGTGATTGAACCAATTGTCCAATTGTCAGGGCAATCTGTAAAACCGGGAATTGTCAGGGAATTTGGTCTGGAAATGTCAGGGAAAAGTCAGGGAATTACGACAACTTTCTAGAATTTTAAACTTTGAAGCTTGTTTTCTCCAAGTACCGAAATTTTTGGAAATTCTTCTGTTGACAAAAAACATTGTTCTGGAATTTTGTCTCACATTTACTTAGAAAAGTGGGATGTTAACATCTTCTCGTGTGATGAGACTGGGAACCCACTGTTTTTTAAATGCTAAATTCAGTATTCTACTTTTTAAAGGAATTTTTGCACATCAAGATGGTGGAAATATTTGAAAAATACTCATTTCCAGCAATATACAAACTGCAAAAACAACGAGAGTTTCAACCTGGTCCGCCAGAGAGATGTTAGAATCCTAATTTTCTAGACAAATTTTTCGCTGTACGTATTTTTGTTGAAAAGTTGACAGAGTGATCACCTCTTAAGGGGAGACCTCGCTAAAATTTAAAAGTTGGAAATTCCCTTAGCCATGCCTCCTTTATTACGCAATTTCCATCTGATGTAGATTTTTGTGTTCCGCAATTTTTGTTAGACTCTAGAAAATTAAATTAGGTACCCATTTTACGTCATAAATTATGGATAATAGCTGATGAAAAAAATGTTTCTTTCAATACACTCTTCTTTGGTTGCTCTTGCATAATGTCTGAAAAATCGAGTGGAGCGGACAGACTAAATCTAAGATTCATTTTTTCTCAATCCATTTTGTGCAATGGAAAACGAATACTCAATCTTATTCTTTGAAGTCTGACGAACATTGAAAAAAAAATCTGAATTGGATGAAAATTATGATCCAAGGAAAATTTTCAAGGTGAAAATGGAAAATGACGACGAAAATTAATTTGATGGTTCTTTTCGCCAATCAAAGACAATTTTATTTTACCGATGCCTGCCTTTCAATTTCGTTCTGTAAAGGAGTTAATGTGCATGGATCCATACATTGCTCATTGCTTATCAACCTCAGGTGATCCTCGTTTATCAACTGTTGTAACCCTTTAAGGTGAATTTCAATATCCCCACTCTATGGCCTTTAAAATGGAATACCGGTGGCTCACTAAAGCGTCCTACTGTGCTTTTTACCTTAGAGTCTATAAATTTAACATTCTTTCATAAAAAAAAAACGTTTTCTATGGGCAGGGAATTTCATCAATTCGACCGGGAAAGGTCAGGGAGTTTTGTAAAAACTTCCAGGTGAACATCCTGATGAAATGCAGCATCACATTTTCTTTTTTCTCCTTCTGGGTCTCCCCCTGGGACTTCCTCTGGACTTTGGATTTTGCTGTTTCATTTTCTTTCTAATTAATTCATTGACAAAATCTTCTCCTGTTAAAATTTCTCCATAATTTTTCATTCTACTGAATGGAAAATTATTATTCTCGTCAAAACTCCCAATAATAAACAAAAGTTAATAAAGAAAAGTTAATAAATAAATTTTTTTTGTTTGAATTGCATCAAACAGTTGTTTTTCGGCTATTTCATTTTGCCCCACTCTCCCCTAAATATTCTTACTCTCGTTTTATGATTTTCTTCGTCAGGATTGATCTTCAAGATGGTATACTGAAAACATTCCTGGAGAAAGCTAGAGATTTATCTTTCTCAGAGCGCGGTGAATTGTTAGTAAACACTGCCAGTGGAATCATTGACGCGCATGAACAACTAGCACAGGAGGGACAGACCCAAGCTCCACAGGAGGATGCCCCGGTTTATCATCATTTTGTAGCATATGTTGAGAAGGACGGATCATTGTATGAATTGGGTAGGTGTTATGAACAATAAAATTATTAATCAATATCTATTCGTAGAAGTGGTATAGTAAGACAAAACACGTCGACTTGCATATGAAATTATTTCAATGATGAGTAGTTTCAGAAGAACGTATCAGGCGATTCTGCTATGGTAATTTTTTTCAGCTACATACAAATTTTATAGCTTTGTAGCAAGGGTTTTCTGATTTTGTTTAGATTTGCACGAAGTTTTCAGACTGATATTTTCGATTATTATTATTATTATTATTATTATTATTATTTTATTTCTACATTTGGGATACATAGGACCATCGCAGGGAGAAATTTGAGCTACATAGTATTGCATAAGAGTATAGTAGTATAATGTTTTTACATTTGTACATTTGTTCCGTTAACTTGTGTATTAATGTATTTTATTTATCAATCTGACGTCTAACTGAGAGACAGTTCACAGTGAATTTATACATAGCTTTCGTTTCAATATAATTAGCATTGAAGATGATATTACTGAGTGACATATCAACAAGATCAGGGAAGTTATTGAACAGAGATGTGCGCAGAGTTAGAGTTACTGGACAGATAAAAAAGAAATATTCAATAGTATCTGAATCTTGGAGATCACCAAAATTACATATTTTATTCGGCTTGAAAAGAACCTTGCCTCCGTCAACGTAGAAGTAACAATTGAACTTATTGGCTAGTCTTAGCTGGGCGGTGATTCTTTTGGAGTGTAGACTATGGTTATGAGTGAGATAGTTAGGGCTCCAGGTGGAGTCTGTGAATTGAGGATGTGGAATGAGCTGGCAAGAGGATGAGGATACCCATCTCCCAAGGTTTTCTGCTTTGAGAGTCGATTCGTAGCTTTTAAAAACCTCAAGACATTTTCGATTGAGAAATAATTTTATTAGAGAATTCTAAGAATGCTTATCCAAAAACGCAAACACTCAAGGAAACTTTGTTTTTTTTTCAACTGATAGACAGAGTTATCTCTTTCATATGAATGAAAATTTTAATCCACCCACTAGACATTAAACTGAAATTTATATTATATTATCCCTTTTAAGGGGGGACACCGCTGAAATTTGAGTCCTGCAATAAAAAATTGGCCTCTGTGAGATTTCTTTCCCATGTGTAGTGACAAAAAAAAATATATTTTGACTCACCTAAGCCCATCCAAAATGGGGAATTTCAAAAAACCGAAAAAACAGATTTTCCCCTTTAAAAGTGTAGAAAGTAAGTAGAAATGATCGGATTGTCTTGAAATTTATACACAATGTTCCGAACACGAGAATCAACAAAGCTACAGACGGATATTTGAATCTGATGATTTTTAGATTTTAGATCGGCTGAAAATCTAAAAAATCATAAAATAAAAAAAAATTGAATTTGTTAACTAATCGATTTCAATTTAGAATTCTGCGAGATCATATACTATAGTTCCTAAGATATTCGAAGATACAAGCTAAAAAACTAAGAGAACTGGTCCCAGAAGCAAATTGGCTAATTTGATTATTCCGTATTTTGTTTTTTTTCTATTTTTGGCTGATCTAAAATGTAAAAATTATTGGATTCGAATTTCCGTCCGTAGCTTTATTGATTCTAGTATTCTGAACATTTTGTATAAATTTCAAGACAATCCTATCATTTCTACTCACTTTCTACACTTTTAAAGGGCAAAATCGGTTTTGTCGGTTTTTTAAAATTCCACGCCATTTTGGATGGGCTTCGGTGAGTCAAAATATATTTTTTTTGTGACTACACACGGGAAAGAAATCTCACGGAGGCCCATTTTTTATTGCAGGACTTTCAATGAACAAACGGGATTGATCATTTATTGAGCTTCTCCCAATAATATCCCAAAGTTGTGAGTGGACTCCCGTTAGACTCTAATCGCACGAGCCAGCCGGAAGCAGAAGGATCAACTAGGCGACCCGAGGGTTCACTATCACTGAAATATACTATATAGTCGTACTGGAGAGATTCTAGACTTGGCCTCCCATACAACGTAATGGTGGGGGAATAGGAACCGAAGAGTACAATCTCTGCAGTTCGACTATACACTGGAAAGGGCACTGAGCCGCCCGAAGCGCGCCGAGAGAAAGGGTCGATTTTGGGGGCCACCTGTCTCTGTTGTACCGTCTGCTCCAAAAGTATTCTCTTACCTTGGACAACGTATAGAATTTAGCATTGGCATTCAGTTCTTTTTGGTTGCATATGTCATTTTTGTTAAAATTCAAATCCATAACATGTGAAAGTTGAAAATTTTATTCTTTCCCAATGTATACTGATACATGGGGTATTTACAATTCTATTACAAGTAAATTGACACGGAAAAAATACATAAGAATATACTATTCAATAGATTCTTTATTCAATTAATCTGACGGGAAATCGAAATCCTCTGAATCAGTACCGTCCTCAGTATTCGGAATTTCAAATTTCGGTATGTCCAATATAATTCCTGAAACAGAAAGGTGATATTTGAATGATATAAACTTTTATTTCAAGAGGAATTAATTCCTCAAATTCAAGAACATGCCTCGAGTTTCTGATCTCTATTTGATCTTTCCAATACTGTGATGAAAAAATAGAACGTCCCAATATTTATTTATCCTTCTAGCATCAAAACAATCTTTTCATCACGCTGTGACGAAATAGTTATTTTCATCACAAGGTCCACAAAGTATTTTCTGACGAATGTGGCTTTGTAGGCCGAGCCGAAGGCGAGGCCTATAATCACATTCGTCAGAAAATACTTCTGGACCGTGTGATGAATGCAATTTTTCGTCAGAAGGCCCGTAAACCGCGATCAAACCGAGGGAAGCGAGGTTACAATCGCGGTTTACCGGGTCGTCTCACGAAAAGTGAACTTTTCGGCACGCCCCGCGTACGTAAAAGTCCAATTTCCGCCACATTGTGATGAAAAATATTGTTCGTAACTCGTGAAAAAATGTTTTTTGCACTCGTTACGAAATATACTATTAACATATCAATTCACTGCGAATAACTCAACCTAAAGGAGAGTTCACAACGAACGCGTCGCAGGGTTAAAGCGACGCTTACAATTGTTAAAAACTATTTTTCAACTGTTTTTCGATTATTTTGACAATTGCAAGCGTCGCGTCAAGCTTGCGTTAGGTTCATTGTGGAATCTCCTTAAGCTTCTCAACTCGCTTGTACCATGTGTCGTTTGGCACGTTACGCGCATGCGCACCGTCGAGGGAGTGAGAGAGGTGGCCCCCAAAATGTACTCCTCTCTGGCTCGCTTTCTGTTTACGAGTCTGGCATTGCAGTGTCCTTTCCAGTATATAGTATATGGATTTCAGTCTATAGCATATCGATTTCCAGTATAGTATATCGGTTTCACTATAGGTTTGGGTTGTCTGAGTAACCCCTACAAAACCCTCAAACGTCACATTGGCGGCCAATATTTCGCGAACGGATAAAATATATGAAATATTATTTGCTTAAGATTAAAATAATTGACGTATAGACTGGGTTCATACGTCGCATTGGAGTCTTCCAGTAGATGAATTAACAATTTGAAAATCAGTCTTCCAACCACGTTTGAAAAAATGCTATAGGATTTCCTACAGGATATCCTATAGTATTTCCTATAGGAAATCCTATGGAGAATTCGAACATTTCCTATAGGATTTTTCTGATAGGATTTCCTATAGAATTCCCTATAGAATTTCCTATCAGATTTATGACCCTAATCCTGACCCTTGTGACCGATTGCTTTCGAGTCTCAATTTTGTGTGTTACTTTCTATAGAAAACCCTATAGTGAATCCTATAGGAAATCCCACCAGAAAAATCCTATAGGAAATGTTCGAATTCTCCATAGGATTTTTTCATACGTGACAGCCCGTTTATAAAAAGAAAAAATGTTTTTTTTTTCATTTCGTCGAAGCTACTGCCATTAAATTTTTTTAATCATCAGAAATGCTCGATTCTTTTTTTCCTATCAGTCTGAGAAATTACAAAATTTCCTTCGAATCTAGAAACAGTCGATTATCGGAAAGTAGATAAACATCGTTAATCTCAACTTGAAGCACCTTGGCGCTTCTACCTGTGTTGAATACCTGTATTGAATTTATTTGTTAATTTCTTTTTGTTTTAGATGGCAGAAAACCATTCCCCATCAATTATGGACCAACAACAAAAGATCAGCTGTTGGAAACTGCCACGAAAGTCTGCGGAGAATACATGGCAAGAGACCCTGATGACGTTCGCTTCACCATGATTGCACTTGTCGCCAACGAATAAAGCATCTTGTATTAAAAACAAAACAAATCAAATACCAATACTCTACTTTGGCTTTTGAAGGGATTCACACCCCTATGAGAGAGTGCGCGGAAATATTGCATTTATGTATTAGAAATGCTTATGGCGGTGTAAAAAGGCAACGCTGGATGTTCTGAAAGGAGAAAATATTCTGGAGAAAAGAAAAAATTTAATACATGTTTTTAAAAGACTTGAAATATACATACATGTTTCTATGGAATTGAATTATTTTTTTACTCGATTAGCATCTTTCATACGGTTTCATGTTCATTGAATTTTTTTATTGCAAATTGAGAAAGGAAGAGATGAAACGCTAAAATGAAAGGGGCGTGAGTAGTACCTGATCACCATTTTTATAGGGATATCACTCCCAAGCTTTCAGCTGCAGTTAGACTCTCATAAATTCGGATTAGGGCCTCCCCCTCATTTTCAGTGATTATATCATGAGAAAACATTTACAATATCCCTCCGATTGTTCAGGGTACTCAAGAGATAAAATGAAAGAGATAAATGAAAAATATGCCCCCTTTGGGCATAAAAAAAATTAATATGTAAGATACACTCCTTTTACTTTCAAGGAGTACTTACCCGGGGTTGATTTAATGGGCATACTTTAAGGAATTTATGGAAATACGTTCTTCTATGTATTAAGATATCACATGCAAAATTTCAGATAGCCTAGGAGAAGGACAATAACGGAAATAATTTCTGAAGTTGCTATTTATGCATGAGGTTAAAGGGGGCATCAATAATTTCAGTGTTTTCCCTACATTATCGACCTGTCGGCAACATGGGGACACTGCTGAAATTATCGATGCCTCATCCAACTACATACATAAATAGCAACTTCAGAAATTATTTCCGTTATTGTCCTTCTCCTAGGCTATCTGAAATTTTGCATGTGATTTCTTAATACATAGAAGAACGTATTTACAAAAAATTATAAATATCTTGACTTTTTTTATTCTCTCGAAACAACGCCATAAATTGCTTAACATCACTACAATATTTTCTTGGCAAAATAACCAAGAACATACGTTGAACGACCCTTGATGTCTAGTATACGCCATGTTTTACAATAAAATTAATTCTACAGAAGGTTTTCTAACGGTTCGCTAGGAAGCTTTCTGAATTGAAGTTATTTTTCTTATACATTTCCAAATGGTGCACATTTAAATGTGCCGAACGGAATTGCGCGAGCACTTCAGGTTGTGACAAATTAATGAGAATGCACTCAGTTAAGACACGTGTCTTGTACTGTTTCAATGAAACGTTATTATTCCCACCGGATAGAATGTCCATATTCTTTAAGGAACGGTCACTATAATTCCTCGGACGTTTTTTTTCTCAGATCAATGTTATCCACCTCTTTCAAACACACGGCCATTCGTACATTAATAATTACATTTCTATTTTCGTCCTGATTGATCTAAAAAATCACAAAACATTGATTGAAACCATAATTGAAATATCAACATAGCCGGTGAATATGTTTCATACATATTGGGCGTTTCATACATCAACTGAATCAATTGAAACAAATCAACTGAATATGTTAATAACACTCAACACATTATACATATTATAAAACACGTGGATTATTAATTTAAACAATTGGGTAAATCTGCCGGCCCATTATACGCATTTTGATTAATACATTCAATATATCCATCGATTTTTTTTTTATCGTTATTTTACATCGTTTCGACCCGATTAGGATATACTGCGATGATGATCAAGACTTTAAATGGTTAGATCGCACCAATCTACCCGGCCGGGATTTGAACTCGGAACTGTACTCTGGTTATACGTATACAATACAATCCCTACCAACTCCCTAGTGGCGCTTCTATTGCGTGACAAAAATCGAGATTACGTTTAAAATTATGTAGAGTCACCTTGTACAATCAAAAATGTATGTAAATAGTAAAAATTAGTAAAATAAGGAAAAATTGGATAAAATAATGAAATGGGGGACATTACAGAGCCAAGCAAACAATTGGGCGTCTCGACGGGTGGAAAAACCTAAAACTGCAAACGACATCGACGTTTTATAACTATAAGGCCCTTCGAAAATTCTCCCCGAAAATATTTTAATCCCGTAATAAGCTCCCTTTATTCTATTTTCGTTCATTTCCTGCGTTTTAAATCCCATCGTAAATGCTTTCATTTCACCTTTTCTGAATACATCGTAGTCGTCGAAATATTCTCGGCGCCAGACAATTCGAGACCCCATGTAAAAACAGACCTTCACTTGAATTTCTAATCGTTTAATCCCATCATAAACACCCTCATAGGGGAGGGGGGGGGGGGCTAAAATGGACCGTGTGGGTAAAATGGACCCCCTATTTTCTTGAGTGATAGTGAGGGTAAAATGGACCCCCGTTTTTTTTTCTCTTGATTCATTATTTTTGTCAATCAGGGATAAATATATAATAGACATTATTGCTGAAAGAATTTTCATTAGACTGCCGCACTGGTAGGGGCTGGTATACTCGCATCCGAAAGTTAAATGTAATCTGCACCAAAGACGGGCTAGAGAAATAATAATATTGATATGGGAACTGGATGAAACAATATGAATTTTCAGAAGTTTTATGCCCAGCAGATTGACTGGTATCTCAATGAATAAAGAAATAAATGAAGAAATGACCAGTATTATGATTCAGTATCTCGTAATCCCCTCCCGTTAGTATATGAGAAGATAAACTGCATTCATCGAATATAAGAAGTGCTCAAAACCGGCTTTGAAATAAAAAAGAAGTCTGCTTTATCTACGCCTCAAGTGGATTACCGTTGACCGGTTAAAAAGGAAACAGCTTCATTGGGAGGCCTACAAGTTGAGCACCCTCATAGGATTCAAATAATTCACCTAGATTTTTGACAAAATTAGTGAAAAAATTCATTTTTGTATTGTTTTAGTGATGAAGATTGTCATTAGCGTTTCGTATAAATCAAGTGTGATTAAGGTTTGAACTTACTGTTTTCGATAGTGCCCGGGTAATTTTTACACAGTGAATTCTTCAAAAATTCAATTATCATTAAAATGATTGTAATTTTAGATAAGGGTAAGTAAGATTTTTTTCCTCCCATAATGAAATTCCATGTAGCATAACCATTTATGTTTTATTTAACTTATACAAGAAAAAGTAACTTATCGATTTCGTAATATTTTGTCAGCGATTGAACTAAAAAATTTGACGCAATTCATTTACGAGTTCACCGCAGAAGCAGTACACCGATGCATTGTCAACAATTGCAGCACGTTGATGTGCTGTTGCACATTCAACACAACTGTATGGATGATTGCAGGGGAGGGCGATGATATTTGACACTCGTTCTCCGCAGAATGGACATTCGTAAGTGCCTGAAATTATAATCGTCATTATTATCATATGCAAAAATTTCACAAACAGCCCTTTTGAGTCGTTAAGAATTTAATCAATTAGTGATTGAAAACTCTACAAGTATTTCTCACAGTATGAGAAATTTTCATTTGAAACAGTACATAGTGAATTTATACATCTTTAATCGATGAGAATAATTAAAAAATCGATAACTCTGCTAATAATCAAGTTAGAGGTCTGCAGCTGCCTTTGTTTTATCTTCAATCTGAATAAACGTCAAGAGTAAAAAAAAAGAAACCAGGAAAAACGAGAGTCCTCTTACTCAAGTTCAGAGATATGGAATATTTTCTCGATAATAACGACCAAAAATTTATGAAATTGCCATCTTTCGTGTATTTAAAAGGACACCGAAGAATGTACGGTCTATTAGGGTCAGTTTTCGATAAATTAACTGCGTGATTAAAGTTGAGTTAAGACCCCCCATCACTGAGCCTAGCCAATCAGGAATCTTAATTTTAATTTTAATCACACGTAAACCACGATTAACTTATCGAAAAACAGGCCCTTAGTCTTGGATTTTCCATTCTAGGAATCATTTTTATCTTGATGAAAGTAATACGTACGAGTATCATGTATATTACGAGGATCACTGTTGACAAATCCATCCACGTCATTAAGAGTAATCAATGGGCGATTGTTCATTACTTTTAGGCAGGCTATCGCACAGTTAAAAAATGACGAGATATTGAATCTCCTATTGGTAAGCCTCTCCCAGGCTTTGTGGACTATTCGCTGGACATTAATCGTGTCGACTGTTGGATTCTCTCTTATGAGGTAGCCCATTTGCAATGATCCGAATTCGCGTTTAGTTGTTATGACCAAGTCCCTTAGAGAAGCTGAAATATAACAGAACATCAACCTGTTGTTCCAGTAATGATCTGAACTTCTAAGGGAATTTTTCTTTTATAATCATCCAGACAGGGAAAGTTATTGTGATCGCCTCGGAAATAAAATGTTTTAGTCTTCACTTGCTGTTGACATTTTGAAATCTTTAAATACTGAATAACGATAATCAAAATCTGTGAACCTATGAGTTGTTGTTTATTAAGGGGCGGCTCACCACAATAAAAAAAAATCTTTTGTATTCAAAAAAACAAATTTCTAATACTATTTCCTGCGTGATTTTTCCTCACACGTACGAAAATTTTTAATAGAAAACCCTAAAGAATTCTATAGGAATTTTTATAGAACTTCTATTGGATTTTCTATACGTTTTTTGCCGTTTCTATTGACATGTTCGATAAGGAATATTATATAGAAAAATGTCAATAGAAAAAAAAAGTCAATAGAATTTCATTTTTCTATAGAATTTTTCCGACTCAAATTTTCTAAGTTTTTTTCAGTTATTTTTTATTTTCTTCTCTTAAAAAAAATCGAATGAAAAAACTTAGAAAATTCGAGCCGAAAAAATTCTATAGACAAAGAAATTCTATAAACTTTTTCTGTAGAATTCCCTATCGAACACGTTAAAAGAAACGGCAAAAAACGTATTGAACATTCAATAAGAGTCTTATAGAAAGTCTATAGAAATACCTATAGAATTCTTTAGGGTTTTCTATTAAAAATTTTCGTACGTGCAGGACTTGGATTTCAGGGTAAAATTTGTTCTAAAATCTTAATATGTAAAGGGCAATAAAAAATCAACTTGGTGGGGTTGGCACACAAACTTCAAAATGATAAAGGGCTGTCTATTTCGAAAAAAAACGTTGGTGACTTATGTTAGCTTGATTTTTCGATGTAAACAAAATCGAATCTCTATTAATAAATGTTCAAACTGATTAATGCATCTCCAGTTAATGAATAAAAGAACATA